CGGTCAGCCGCCTCCGAGGAAAGCGAGATGGCTCGGTCGTCTCGCTGCATTGGCCGCGCTCCAGCCGGAGAAACTGGCCCGGGAGCGTGCACCGGCCCGGCGTGGGCAGGAGGGAGCGTGCATCGCCCCTCCTGCCTGCTAATGGCTTCTTGCCCCGGGCCGCTCCCTCAGCGGACAGGAGGGAGCGTGCATCACCCCCTCCTGTCCGCCGAGGGCTTCCTGTCCCACAAGCGAGGTCCTGTTCCTCCGCACATGAGGGCCTCTTATGAGACTCTCTTCTCCTGCACGTGAGGTCCTCATCTACCGCATGCGAGACCCCTTTTCCCTGCACGTGCGGTTCTCCTCAACAAGTGAGGTCTTTTCCCGGGCATACTTTCGATATTTTTTTTTTTCAGGACATACTCCCTTCCCCCACATGACCATCTCCTTTTCTTGTATCTGAGGATCTCTTCTCTCGCAAGTGGATCTTTTTATCCCCGCATGTGAGGCTTTCTGCCGCGCACGCAAAACCCTTATGATTCCTGCACGCCGGATCCTCATCCACCGCGCGTGAGATCCCTTCCAGCCACACGTGAGGTTCCTGTTACCCCACCCCCGGCGCCTGAGACTACAACGGAACGGCTCGGCGGACCACCGCGCCGGACAACCGCCTGCGCTGACTCATGGCACCAGGACAACAGCGCGTCGAGGTGTCATGTCATCTTCACAAGAGGGCCAAACTGCTGCTTTGTTGGACTTATCAATGGCGGTGCCCACCAATAGCAGACACAACACACTGGCTAAGAGTGACTAGGCATCAATCAACGATTCCGACGATTACGACGCACAATGCGAGGCAACACCTGGCGACCTTTCAGCCCGAGGTCCTTCAGAGCTCGCCGCTTTCAGCCGATGTGGGACCACCGACGGTTCCTGCCCTCCTGTCTACAGCGCCGACACCAGTGGGCTAGTCACGCCGGCCCATTCTCCGGCGTCCGCACCGTACGGTGAGGTCCGTAGCGAGGACGGCCCTCCAGAGGCAATTTGGCGCGGTCCTTCAGAGAGGCGGTGGCGGTGGCGGACATTCACTGCCACGGCGGAGCGGCGGCGGCTGCGGCGGAGACAGACCGGCAGGTGGTCTGTGGTCCGCGGTCCGACGGCTAGCCAGACCCCGGCCACGCGGCCACGCGTACCGCGGACCGCGGGAGCCGATTAGTCTGGGCGGCAGACGCACCGCCGACCGCCAGCTGCCGAGGCATTGTTCAACCGATTTTGCGCGCCACTGGATCTACAGTAGGCCCGCGCGGTCTGCGAGGCTTCCCAAATTGTACGAGCCACGGGTGACATCTGCTCGCCGACTTTTTAAGCCACGGCCTCTTTTTCCCGCCACTGGCCACGCTTCAACACAACTGCGACCGTCGCGATGCGGAAGCCAGGTCCGGTAACGCCTTCCGGGCGTTCTTGTCGCCGTCCGCGTGCGGTCTCGACGGCGCTCCCGCCAGCCTGCACAATGACCCCCGCGGCGGCGGCGCGCCGCCACAGAGGCACGGGTCGGCCGGCCGGGCGGCGCCAACTCGTGATCGTGAACGGCGGCGCAGCGGCCGTCGGTGACCGCTGACCAGGTGCGGGTCCGTTGGCGGCACCGCAGCGCCGGCTGTCGGCGTCACCCAGCCCGCCGCCGCCGGCGCTCGGTGAACCGCTGGCCACGGCCGGAGCCGCTGCGAGAGGCCCGCCAGCGCCGGCCGGCGCCGGAGGGCGCGAGGCAGACCCACTCATCACGGCAGACACGGTCCGGTGCAGCAGACGGTGAGGAAACGGGGGGGGGGGGGGGGGTAATAAGTGGAAAGGCATCACCAGCAAGCACGGTTAATAACAGCACGTGCAGGGGAAATCAGAGAGACGTCGAACAACGTGAGAAGGCAAGCCCGCCAACTGAGAACGCGAGACGGTGGATACGGAGCATAATTGGCCGATCGGCGGAGGAAACCCCAGATCATCGCGGTCACGCCCGACACGGCCCAGCCGGCGTCACATGCCGGCCGCTCCCATGCGCCGGGATCGTCTCCGTGCCGATACGGCGGCGGCAGCGACCGGTCGGTCCGTTCATAACGGAGCGGTGCCGATCCTGTGCGCGTGGTCCGGGCGCCATATGGACCGGGCGCCGCCCTGTCCCGCTCGCGACACTGGGGCAGCTGGTGCGTGAGGACTCGGCACTGACCGGGCGCTGACCGGGCGCCGTCCTGTCCCGCTCGCGACACTGGGGCAGCTGGCGCGTGAGGACTCGGCGCTGACCGAGCGCCGCCCTGTCCCGCTCGCGACACTGGGGCAGCTGGTGCGTGAGGACTCGGCGCTGACCGGGCGCTGACCGGGCGCCGTCCTGTCTCGCTCGCGACACTGGAGCAGTTGGTGCGTGAGGACTCGGCGCCGATCGGGCGCTGCCCTGTCTCGCTCGCGACACTGGAGCAGTTGGCGCGTGAGGACCCGCCGCCGACCGGGCGCCACCGCCTCCCCCGACTATGGACATGGGGATCGGGAGAGGCCCGCGCGGACAGGGCCATCACGTCTGACGGGGTGCCCGGGGCACGGCGGACCCGAAGTCACCCGTCCCGGCAGTCAACTGCCGGTGGACGGTGACGTAGCTCAGCTGTGTAACGGGGCCCGCCCGAAGAATCGATGTAACGATCAGCACCGACAGCCGGTACAGCTCTGCTATCAGAGAGCCCGGAAGATCCGCCGAGATACTGATGGACCCAAGAGCGGTATCATGGCGTGTACTGAGGCTGAGCGAACTTCATAGCACGCAGCTCACGCAGCAAAGTCTCTCATTGGATGACGTACGCATCTGTCGCGCCACACGCACGTACGCACGGCTCCCGATCACAAGAGATCAGCACGACACGCACATACACTTCCACCCCACCGGACGCAAGCGCACTGGGTCCCACACCCTTAAAGAGGTGGGCCAGTCAGCATGGCTGCCAGTCCCACCCAGAGCGAAAGCATGGCGTGCGACTTGTAACCTGTACTCCAAATGGCTGAATACCTTGTTCTGAACTCAAACGGTATTACAATAGTTAGCTGCTGGCTTTTGGGGCTGACTCGATAGACAACTAGACAAAAACTTCCACCAACCTTAAATGATTGACGGCCAAAAACCCGGCCGCGCTCATCCTCCAAACGCCAGTAACGCTACAACCGAACCCGGGTACGGTCACTGCCACCTGGCGAACACATGCCCAAGCCGAGCCTCGTCTGCCGTCCGGACAGCGTCGCCACCGTCGTCGGCACCACACCGCGTACGCCGCGTGCCCGCTGGGCCGTCGCGATAACAGGCACATCAGGCGTGACGCCCTCACGCGGTCGCGGCGCAATATAACGCAATGCGTGACATCATCATAGACAAGGGTGCAAGTCGCCAGCTGGTGTGCCGGTGCCGGAGATCACCTTTTTCAAGTATTTGGTCCGAACTCTTTGAATGGGTGGATTTATGGGATCAGAGCTCACGCTGAGCAGTGCTTGTTGTATGAGCCCTGACCCCTACCATCTGATCACGCAATTCCAGGCGACGGCAGAATTCAGTGGCGAAAGTTTAACGTGCCGCAATGCTCAATACGGTCCGTCCTGCCCTCTAACGTGAACTGACCTTTAGCGCGACCGCTGGCACCGGTTGCAGGCCATATCTGTCAAGTGCAAATAGCGAGCGCCCAAAGCGCCTCGAACACACCTCAACACGGGTGGGTGGATCGGAAGGCAGGCGCTCTAACCAACTGAGCCACCGGGACGGACCTTGCTTCGCATTGCTCCACCCTGCTTCGTCCGAGAGCACACAACACTTGTAAAGCGCTTGTGAACAGTTCCTTACAAAACAATCTGCCATCTATTTAGTGTAATTCGCGCCACATCAACAGCGTAAGGCGTATCCCTATTGTTAGCTCGCATGGCCCTTGCTTAGGGCCGTCGTGTCGACAAAGCAAGACTAATGACAATGCCCGGCTGCCGGCCGCTCTGGGGCCGTTCCGGTGCGATCGACCAGTTTGTTCCGGCCGGCGCCTGGCACCATTGTGCCGACACCGGGGAGTAGCCAGGCGGAACTGACCACCGCCGGCGGCCGACCGGGCCGCACAGCACGACCCCACAGACGGCCGGCCGGGGAGCACAGACGGAGCTGCGGGAGGCCACCGCCCTCGCCAGCGGCGGCCAGAGGGCAAACGCGCGACACTTCTGTACTGATGTCTGCTCCACGGCGTCACAAGTACCCCGACTGACTTATGACCACGAGTATAACTGAATGAAAATCTTTCACTGTCGTGTGTGGCAAAATTCGCCCGTCCTGTCTCAGGCTGTGCGTAATTAACCGCGATGCACTTTTCGTATACTTTAAACGAAATGGTGTTAAGAAAAACACATTAGCTGCGTCTTTAATCACGAACAGATATCAAAGCATCAACTTTCGCTTTTTTAAGCACAATCCAACAGTCCACACCGTCACTAAAACACGCTCCAAAATCTGAAGTCGTTTTGCAATGCACACCGAGCTTGGCGCGCGGAATATTGAAGATGCGCGCGCGCAGAATACTGAAGATGTGCACGCGCGCAATGTTGAAGATGTGCGCGCGCGGAATGCTGGAGACGAAATACTGGAGTGCTCAGCGGACCACGGGAAACGCCAACACATTGCATGCGGGATTTTCGGAGGACTCCGGCAACGGACGTGACGTAGCTCATAACTAGACTAGGCGCGCGCAGCGTGAGAACCGCACGGGTCGTCACGCACGCTCGAGCGTCCGGCATCTCTCTTGCGCTGAGCATCAGATGAAGAGCCGCGCCGGCAGGTCATTTTACATTCCTTCACATTCCAGTCCTATGTGTTGGGTCCCGGGCATTGACACCAAAAAGAAGTCGCGCACGCCGAAAAGTACGCAAGCAGCAGAAAAAATCGCGCGCCTGCTGGGAACCGAGCCAACGGCCCCACACACGTACATCAGCCGACTGCTCAGCTGAGCGAAAGTCGCGGTACTCACCGCCGGCCGCCGTTGCGCCTTGGTCTTCTCGAGACCGCGGTTGGCCGTCTCGTACTCGATCATGAGCCCGGTGCGCCGCAGCAGCATGTCCGACTCGGACTGGGCGTACCGGGCGTGCAGCTCCAGGGTCTGGCCCAACGTGCCATCCGCGCTCGTCGTCGACAGGTCAACACCGCGCTGCCACACACAAAACGGTGGAGGCCAGTGGAGGTCAACCAAGGTCATTATACGTAACGTCATGTAAGGTGAGCATAGTTTAGGCTAAGCCAGGCTAGGCTAGGCTAGGTTGGGCTTGGTTGGGCTAGGTAACCTTAAGTTAGGTTAGGTTAGGTTAGGTTAGGTTAGGTTAGGTTAGGTTAGGTTAGGTTAGGTTAGGTAAGGTAAAGTAAGGTAAGGTAAGTTAAGGTAAGGCAAGGCAAGGTAAGGTAAGGTAAGGTGAGGTGAGGTGAGGTGAGGTGAGGTGAGGTGAGGTAAGGTAAGGTAAGGTTGGCTTAGGTTAGGTCAGGTCAGGCCAGGTCAGGTCGGGTTAAGTCAGGTTATGTCAGGTAAGCTCATTATAAATGACACGAGTTAGACCAGACCCGCTAAGCGCAGGCTGTGTCGGCGTAAGTCAACCAACTACCACACAGCAGGCCCAAGCTCAAGTTAGTCAGCAAAATATTTGAACATTGATGATATGTGGAGATCAAAGTCAATGCCAATCATTAAACCCAAGCTACTAAAAGTAAATTGTTTGCTTCTATACCACAAGCCTGCCTTGCAATACTTGTCTACAACACTTGGGCAACGTACCACACGGCACATTCCGCCCATGTTTTCCTTATGAACAACCAACCCCCACCTCTACTGGATGAATGCGGACATCGTTCAATCGGTCTCACGACCACAAATATGCCAGAGGCGACCCGCGTAAACACAACGGCCTGGCCTGAAGCCCTCCCACATCACGCCCAGCCACGCATGCCCAGTGAGACACGGGTCCGCTCAACACACCAGAGCACCGGGACAGACGGCAGTCGGACGCCAGAGCCAAGCTCATCTCCGCTGTTCGCTGCCGTCACCTTGTACTCCTGCAGTGCGCCCGAGAAGCGTGTGTTCAGCTTGTGGTAGAGCCCGTTCCAGCCCTCGTTGGAGCCGACGCCGATGTTGAGCGCCGTCGCCAGGTGATTGATCTGGTTCGACAGGCCTGGAAGCGGAGCCCAGCCGTCAGCGTATCGCGTGCTTCGGGGATCCGCGGCAGCGAGCGACGGCCGACGGAGACGCGTCGCAGCAACAACGCTCCGCTCGATACATCAATGGTCGTGATAGCTTATCCACTTTTCTTCGACAAACAAGGCTCCATGTTCACGGCCCAAGCAGCCTATCGCATCGACAATAAGTCCTCACGAGGGATTACCGGCATAATGTGCTCTAGCATATTTGAAGGTGTTTCCGAAAAGTTGTGGTCACTATTCTTGATACGACATGCTTCAACAGTTTGGTTCCTAGGTATAATCCCGCGCGAGTGTCCAACACTTTAAATGTTTCTACAACTGTCACGGCATTTAGAAAATTTGCCATATATTTTTGAAATATATGATAACTTCTCTTGCCATAACCAGCCAACCTGAAAACATTTACCATCAGCTTTTCCTATGACAATTCAGGGCTACGGTCTAACAAACCAAAAACGCTCACGTCACACAAATGTCGGAACAATGCCAGCACAATAGCATACAGCTACCCTACGATCCACTTGAGGCAGCAATCATGACATAACATCAAACCATTCTGGATACATCATGCATCAGTGACATCCACCCCACCCCCAACCCCCATCCCACCCCCGTGATACGTTTCGAGACTCGTGTCAGTTCCGACAGCGACTGCCCTCGGGCAGAACGTCACGTGTTCCGCGACGCCAAGCGCTCGCCTGACGCCACAAGGTCACACTCACGCTGCTGGGCGAACACGACGGCGGTGAACGCCTCAGCGGCGCGCTGTAGCAGCGGCTGGTACTCGTTGAGCCGCACGCGCTCGCGCTGGAAGAACTCGTCGCAGTCGGGATGTGTGGCGCGAGAGCCGGAGAGGCCGTCTGTGAGCCGGGTCAGCAGCGAGCGGCGCACGAGCGTGCGCACGGGCGGCTCGGGCCGCGTCAGGAACGCCTCCAGCGCCGCGTCCCGGCCGTACACCTCGTGACGCAACAGCAGGTTCAGATACCTACCGACGCACACAAACAGACATAGAGGTCAGGCACGGGATCACCGCGTGACGCAGCAGCAGCTTCAGGTACCTACCGACGCACACAAACGGACATGGAGGTCAGGTACGGGGATCACCGCGTGACGCAGCAAGGTACCTACCGACGCGCACAGACATAGAGGTCAGGTAAGGGGATCACCGCGTGACGCGACAGCGGGCTTGGGGCTCCGCCTACCAACATGGTCTCATGCCGGACATAGAGGGCAGTTCAGGGAGAGAAGGGGCATCGTATAGGCGAGGATGAGAACTTGACAACGCACGCCAACAGACAGAGGCCGTTGTGACCGAGCCCCCTGCCTTTCCGTAATCCCGCCCGGCGCAGGCACTCCAGCCCCAGCAGCAGAGCCTGGTCTTTATGACTTAATGTTGCACTTTCCAACGGTACGGCGTAAACGGCGCTGATGACATAAATTGTAAACACATAACACAGAGTCTGTAGCGGCTTCCTATGCTCCGTTTGTTAAGTGTCACCTTCCACGCTCCACAATGCCCTAAAAGTCACGTACGCGACAATGTTGTGCAACTGGCTTGCGCAGCATGCAACTTTATCTTTCACGGACAATAACGAAAAGTTGACCTTAATCAATCATGTGGCTGCAAGGGTTGCCCCATCACTTGCTGCGAAACGCCTCGGTAATATAAACATTTATGGCGTGGCCAGCTCATAGCCGCGGAATAACTCCCCACACTGGCGAATGACACTTCCAGCTGCCGCGTGGAACTGCGAGCGGCCGAAGTCCTGTTCGCCCACGGTAGACTGCATACAGCGGGTACACCATCTAGGGCTGGGCAGCCCTTAATCCATATAAGCAAGTTCCAGTTTGGAGAACATGATCGTGGACACAGCGTTTGCGAAGACGGTGCCATCCAACACGAGCAAGAGCGTCTAACTTCCGTCCTTACCCCCGTCTTCCGCGCGGCACCTCGTCCCACCACGACGCTTTAATGACCGGCGTCTATTGGCGTTGACGTTCATCCACGCCCAGTCGGCGACCGCCCTGTGAATCAGGGTTCCACCGGAGCCTGAGTCACCGGCGCCGCGGCTCGCCGGCGGCACCAGTGCAGCCTGCCGGCGGCCGTCCGCGCGCACCCCCGACCAGGCCCGAGGGCGCGCGGCCGCGACACCGGCCCGAGTACGTGCGCCCCGACCCGGCTCGGCCGCGACACCGGGCCGTGGCGTCGGCACGCTCGGCCACCGCCGGTTGGCCCGGGCGGCGGGCCGGAGCCGTGGGAGCCGGCGGTGAGGCATGACAGACACCCTGCGTCGGCCGGCGGCACGGGGAAGGAGCGGGCGGCACGGCGCCGGTCCGGACGCGATGACCAGCAGGTACCATCCGATTATCGACCGACCACCGCTGGTGTCAGCGAGATACGGACGCGATGACCAGCAGACACCATCCGATCATCGACCGACCACCGCTGGTGTAAGCCAGACACGGACGCGGTGACCAGCAGGCACCACCCGGTCATCGACCGACCACCGCTGGTGTCAGCAAGACACGGACGCGATGGCTAGCAGACACCATCCGGTCATCGGCAGACCACCGCTGGTGTCAGCCAGACACGGACGCGATGGCTAGCAGACACCATCCGGTCCTCGGCCGACCACCGCTGGTATCAGCCAGACACAGACGCGATGACCAGCAGACACCACCCGGTCATCGACCGACCACCGCTGGTGTCAGCCAGACACGGACGCGATGACCAGCAGACACCACCCGGTCATCGACAGATCACTGCCGGTGTCAGCCAGACACTGTGTCAAAGGTTCGACGCGTTTACAGGTCGGTAGTGTCGTAATCTGGCGTTGTTCCCCGTCTTTGTTCGTGCCGTGCATTACCAGGCGACTTACAAGACAGCGACTAGTTTGAAACTCGGCTGGTAACACACGGCACGAAAATACATACGGGCTGCCGCCGGGCGACGAGAAGGGAAATGATTCCTAATGCAAATTGTGTCGCCGATTATTGATCGAACGAATGCACGGCAGATTACGGGTGGGCCACAAATGACTATGCTGAGGGTGCCTTTTGCACTCTGGGTCGGTCATCATCACAAAAATGCATCAGACAGATATGACTCTGATCTCCCAAGACTTTTCGTTGTCTCTTACTTTCTCCTGAGCAGCGACGTCGGCACGGACTCGCGTTACAATGAGTCTTACATACCGTATAAGACCTATGAACTCAAGTTAGTCCGATTCTTACAATGAATGCCATATGGAAATAGCTTACCATACAAATAATAAATATAATCCCCACACCAACGTTTCACTTAATGCTTTCTTTTAAACAAGCATAGATCAGAAATCGAAAGGAAAACCGAAACGCTCCGCAAAACGGCTTGCAGCATGGCCAAGCATAACAGTTCGGGAACCTATCCACCAGTAAGGCGACCAGTCTCAATGGGGCTGCGAAGAGATGGGATTACCCCGCGTGCACAACCCACAGAACGTTATCAGTGAGGTCACACTCCCGCAGAAATTGCGCCATCATCTGGAGCCGCCACGGTATCAATTCCTACCATCAACAAAGGCCGCTACAAAATGGAACCAATAATGCCAACATAAATGGTATGATTTCAATATTCGGGCCGATACTTCACGCAACACACGCATGAAACGATAAGAACCGACACGTTAGTGCAACACATAAACACGGATTATGTAATCAGAACAAAATTGTAAGTACATTCGTCCTACTCCTTCGTAAGTATATTCTTCGTGCAAGTAAATGTCACATGCATACAACGCAATACTTATTACACCACCAGGCATGCGTTCGGTTCGTTCAGCCTGAAGAAGCCCACAACTACCGACGATTAAACAGCGCGTTGTTGGTATGTGTGCAATGGACGGGAAACGACGGGCGTCCGGGCCGCTTTCCGTCGCAATCCGCCACTGTCCATCGCGCACCGGCCGACGGGCAGAGCGCCCCTCTCCGGGCGCCGGCCGCCGATGGCGTCAGAGGTCACGCCGGCCGCGCCCGCATTAGCCCCCTGTTTCCCCATCGGGGCGCGGGGCGCGGGGCGCGAGCCTGACCGGGCCGCGACCGACGACAATGGGTGTCGGAGCGTCACGCCCGCCCGCGGCCTTTCACCGGGTAAAACGGGCGGCGCCCGGCGGCCGGCGCCACAACACCGGACGGCAGCAGCATGCGGCGCACCTCCCTCCTCGTGCTGACGGCGGCGCTGCTGCTGGCGACGTTCGGCCGGCCGGCCGACGCATACCGCCGGCGCGACTACACCAGCCGCTACGGCGGTCGGGCGGCGGCGGCGGCGGCCGGCGCGGGCCAGGACGAGCCCGAGTCGCGCCGCCAGCAACGGCTCTTCAACCCATTCCCGCTGTTCACGCTGGTGAAGATCGACAACTTCGTGTGTGCGGCGAGCAGCGGCAACAACGGCACGTGCTACACGGCGCAGGAGTGCGACCAGCTGGGCGGCGTGGCGTCCGGCAGCTGCGCGCAGGACTACGGCGTCTGCTGCGTCTTCACCAAGACGTGCGGCGAGACAACCAGCATCAATAACACGTACTTCGTCAACCGCGGCCACCCGGGCTCCTTCGACGGCACGGGCAGCTGCCAGCTGACGGTGCACAAGCTGCACGACAACATCTGCCAACTGCGGCTGGACTTCGACTCGTTCGTCATCGGGCAGCCCGAGGACCAGAACCACCTGTGCCAGAACGACCAGTTCACAGTGAGCGGCGGCTCGCCGGTGCCCACCATCTGCGGCATCAACACCGGCAACCACATGTACATCGACGCCGGCACGGCCAGCAGCCACACGCCCATCACGCTGTCGGTCGTCACCACCGGCAGCAGCTTCAGCCGCAGCTGGAAGGTGCGCGTCTCGCAGATCCCGTGCAACACCCTCTACACGGCCGAGAACAGCTGCCTGCAGTACTTCACCGGCATCCAGGGCGCCATTAAGTCATACAACTTTGACTTCCAGAACGGTGCGCAGCTCTCCAACCAGGACTACACCACCTGCATCCGCATGGAGCGCAACTTCTGCGGCATCCAGTACACACCGTGCGGCGAGCCGGGCACCACCCGCCAGATGGCTTTTCAGCTCAACGGCTCGCCCGAGAGCTCCGTCACGTCACAGACGGGTCAGAATTGCGACAAGGACTGGATCATCATCCCCTGCGCCACAGACAACGTCAACCAGCCGCTGACACGCATGAGCGACGAGAACGTGTGCGTGGACCGACTGTGCGGCGATAAATTCAACGCCGTGGAAGGCACCAACACGTCCGACGCCGTGTACAGCTTCATGAAGCCATTCCGTCTGTACTACCACACGGACGCGCAGGAGGCCGACTCGGAGACGGCCGAGAGCGGCAACACCGGCTTCTGTCTCAACTACGTGCAGCAGCCCTGCACGGCCAAGTGAACCGGTCGCGGCGGACCGGAGCGGGTCGCGGGAGAGCGGGCCGCAGCAGCCCGCCGGGCGCCCACGCTCTCATTGTCACGGACGAGGATGGGGGCCCGGCGTCCGATGTGGTGATGTGACAGACGGGATGGGGGCCCAGCGTCCGATGTGGTGAGGTGACAGACGGGGGAGCGGACCCGGGGTCCGATGTGGTGAGGTGACAGACGGGATGGGGGCCCAGCGTCCAACGTGGTGGGATGACACATGGCTCTGGAGAAAGACGACAACTGGTTTCAAATTTGGTTTGAAAAGGAGGGTAAGCTGCCGGTAATTCACCGTCTTGATTCCTTAGTGCGCTAAAACGTATGCTCCTTTCAGGTCCCAACAAACTGCTCCTACCACTGTGCTCATATCAATTCGATAGGAAGCGCACGCCTGAGTGCCCCTCCGTTTGACATTGGTTGCATGTCTATGTTTCGCGATATTGTTTGTTGTTTTGTTGTTGCTTGATGAGTTAATTGAAAAATAAACATACGTGTCCGCCGAGGACTGGTCGACGCTACTTTTCAGCTGTTTCCAACTCTCTTTGCATTGTTAACAGTCCATGTGTTAAAATCCTTAAGTTAACGTACATATCTAAAACCCCAATTCCAGTGCATACTTACACATTTTTTTTGGCAAATATGAACTGACATGTTCACGCCAATAACATCCACAGGGCGCGAAACATCGAGTCCCGGCAACACCCGTAAATGCCCATACCCCGCCCGCCCCGCTCCCGGCCGCCGCGGCGGGCCAGACTCCGTTCTCGGCCGCCGCGGCGGGCCAGACCCCCGTTCTCAGCCGCCGCCGCGGGCCAGACCCCCACTCTCGGCCGCCGCCGCCGCGGGCCAGACCCCGCTCTCGGCCGCCGCCGCGGGCCAGACCCCCCCCCCCCCTCTCGGCCGCCGCCGCCGCGGGCCAGACCCACCTCTCGGCCGCCGCCGCGGGCCAGACCCCGTCCTCGGTCGCCACCGCGGGCCAGACCCACCTCTCGGCCGCCGCCGCAGGCCAGACCCCGCTCTCGGCCGCCGCCGCGGACCAGACCCACCTCTCGCCCGCCGCCGCAGGCCAGACCCCGTCCTCGGTCGCCACCGCGGGCCAGACCCCACTCTCGGCCGCCGCCGCGCGCCAGACCCCGTCCTCGGTCGCCACCGCGGGCCAGACCCCACTCCCGGCCGCCGCCGCGGGCCAGACCCCGTCCTCGGTCGCCACCGCGGGCCAGACCCCACTCCCGGCCGCCGCCGCGGGCCAGACCCACCTCTCGGCCGCCGCCGCAGGTCAGACTCACCTCTCCATGAGCCGACAGTCGCGCTGCCAGTCGTCCCCGAGCAGGACGGTCGAGTCGGCGCCGAGCTGGCGGCGCGAACGCAGCTCGGCCTGCAGCGGGTCGGTGGCCGGCGGTGGCGGCAGCGGCGGGGCGATCACGCCCGCGCTCCGCCCGCCGCCCGCCAGGCACTGCTCCAGGTACTCGAGATCCTCGTACTGGCGCCCTATCACCCAGCTGCTCTGCGGCGCTGCCGTCTGCGGGTGAGACGCGATGCCATCAGCGGGGCCTCCGGGCGGGCGGCGCTCCGGCCGGCGCAGGTGGGAGGTGGCGCGCCACCGCCCGGCGGATGCCGCATAACACGTATGGGCGGCGTCGGCCGTGCATCGCACCTGCACATGGGCCACAGCGCCACGACGTCAATGAGTCCGGTGGTGGGACCCGACCACTCCCGCGCGCTGGCGGCCATTTAGGGCACAGTGCAGCTGTCGGTCGCACTAACCACCACCGTTGGAGACACCGTGATAAGGTGTGGCTGCTGCAGACACCGGCCTCCACCAGTCCACCCAGTGACGCTACACACAGGGTGCCACCCGGCGATGTGGGGTCACCGATCATTCCCGTCGGCCCGTCACGCAGACCGCATGACTATGGCAGCAGCTGACTGCGCGGCGACACGCGGGGTGGGTAGCTGTGCACCCACACCCGATACCGCCCGGCCGTGTCCGGTTACAAGAGCGCGACATGCGAGTTATTCAGATAGATCCGGCACGGGGCGTGTCAGTATTACGCGCTCCGACACTCGACTTCACCGCCTTGCGAAGACACTGGTGAATAGAAGGCCGACTGGCAAACTATGCACTCTCATAAGGCCAAAGGGATTCCGGGCAAAGTTGGCGCAGCACCCAGCGCGTGCGATATCTCGACGATCACAGCCACGACGCGCTGCAATCGCCGCGTCCGAATACATTAGTGGAATTGCACGGGAATACGTCCAACGTAGCATTGGACACCTCAGTGGTGCCGTACACCCAGACGCTAGCCTGAAGAATATCAAGACTGCCTGGAATCAGCAGCACCTCTTACCTTGGTCACCTCGATCTGGTAGTTGATGATATCGCCATTTTTCGTGACCTGGTCGGTGAAGCGGACCTTGTAGAACGGCCGCAACGGGGAGAGCGGTTCCGGGCTGGAGGCGTCAGAGCTATCCGCCCCCTCTTCCGTCTCCTCCCGCACGTCCTCCGTCTTGCACCGGTCCATCTGACCGCAGGCGCGGTGTGAGACCGACAACGTTTGGTGCGTGGTATTCGTGACTCAGTGAATTTTAAAAAGTTTCAAAAATGACATGGGAAAACCTTATGACTGACACAGATGGATGCGTAAACAGAGTTTGCTAAGAGTGAGTTGATGGTAATAGCTGACAACAGCCAGGTAAATATGTCTATCTAGGCAGCACACAGCTATTAAACAACAAGTTCAGCCTGCTGATAACCTCGGAGAATTGTCCGAAATGTTGGAAATTTCCCCGAATGGCTTTCGGCACTTCAATCACGAAGACTTTCCACAGATAATCATCCATACCAAGGAAAAATCCCAGAAAATTTTAGAGCATGATCAAAACAGAGAATATTTTTATTTGCTTTCCATGACTATCACCATTGGCTGTGCATGGTGCCATGGAGTCGAAGCTGGGGAATAATTTTCGGATCTGCCAAACATAAATCAAGGGTCTCTGTGGAAGATTATTAGAGAGATAATTGTTCAGTGAACAATTTTTCCACTGCTGAACACGTCCTAAATATTCCAGTGAACAGAAGCACTTGGAAAACATCTTGCACATATTGACATACCATGGACATCATTGTTGTGTACTGAGAGAGCTATAATGTGACAACTGATTAAAATAAGATGCCAGAGTTTGCAACATACTTTAGTCAGAAGATTCCAGCAACAGAATACACAACAAAGCTTGAAACAGTTTTAAACAATATGTCGCTGCTTGAGGCGCCAATAGCCAACAGTGTCAAAGGTACCTTTTCGGACCCAGAGTCTGTGATGATGGCTTCCGCAGTTGGCTGGTTTCTAGGCTTAAAGATGTCATCATCACTGATATCTCTTGGCACTTTCTTTTGCAGTGGTGTGGTTATAGCTGGGTCTGTGGTAGCCTCCATCATTGTGAGGCTTATGGTAATGCAAACCTGAAATGAGTTATTCATTATTTTCAGTCAATATATACAAGATATACTAGCTGGCTAGCTTTGCTTCAACATCCCATTTTGTAGAATGTGACAAATCTATCTAAAACCTATAACATGTAATGACCTTAGTAATGTTTTAAAATATTGCTGTGATGAAATCACTGATCTCATCAAATATATGAACACTCCATTAATAACTATTTTCTTGAACATCCATTGGCACCCCCAAACATTTACTAATGGGCATTTGGCATAGTAGAACAATGTGCTAATACTTCAATATCTTAATAGTACAGATACACAATACATGTTCAACACTTATCCATTCTTGTAAGGCACACAATCAAATTCACTGAAACTTGCATACCTACAGCTGTGTTCCATGTTGTGATCCCAGAAGTATGCTACCTAATTGGCTTTGTCAAGACTTGCAGTAAAATACCATCTCTTTGACAGATATGTCTATCTTGGATTTGAAATGGTTGCTCCATGGAGCAGAGCAAAACAGAACTTTGCCTGCATGTGCCATTATGTGTTTATTGTAACCAGTCATAGCATGTATGTTGCTTATGGTCTGTTTGATAAGATTTTTTAAGATTTGTTCCAAACCCTTTGAATGGATGGATTTCCGGGATCAGAGCTCACGCTAAGCAGTGCTTGTTGTGCGAGCCCTGACCCCTACCATCCGATCGCGCAATTCCATGTCAACGGCAGAATTTTGTCCGTCCTGCCCTCTGACGTCAACTGACCTTTAGCGCGACCGCTGCCACCGGCCCCGGGCCATACCTGTCAAGGGCAAATAGCGAGGGCCCTAAAGCGACTCGAACCCACCAACCCACCCGGCCATGGGTGGGTGGATCGGAAGGCAGGCGCTCTAACCAACTGAGCCACCGGGACGGACAAAGATTGTTTTAAAATACACCCACATATGCAAAACAAATTGAAAAAACAGACTGAGTATTTGTAATGCCCTCCTCCCATTGCTGTAATGAGCAATGCAACTCTTGAACAGAAGCCAGACTTGAGCACAACCTCAAGTATGTTGATTTGACAAAACCTTTCCAAAAAAGCCATCAATGCAATTTACTCCCCTTTACCTCACATGAAATATCCTTAAGCAGAGCACAATCTTAATAGCTCTCTGTCCAGTTTTTGTCTATCTGCTATTTGGTAAGTATAGCATGCATACCTACATGCGTTCATCTATATAAGGCTGATGGTTGCCGTTCTATATTTCAGCATAAAAAGTGCTACAATACCCTTATCCTTCACTGTGATACCACATCCACCAACCATGGGACACTGGCAAAATTGGGCACTAAATGGCCAAGTATGCCAGAGGCCCACACCAGTAACAATGGAATCACTCTAAATTGCAATGCATTTGGTTCAGCACCTTGACTTTTGGTGCACAGGCCATCCAAATGTTATGCTAAGCCTGATGCCAGGGACAGCATTTTAAAGGAGGGTAACTGAAGGGTGAGGGAGGAGGTTTCAGACAGCATAACACCGTGCTCAGATAGAGTTGCACATAATACCACAATACAAATGAAGTATTTCCAAACATTAAGCCTGCATACTGTTGGCTTTCACATCTGACAAGCAGCATGCCCACCTTTCTTTCACATCTGTAGCTTAGCTGGGGGCTATACAAATGTTAGCTGTAAGGGACGTTACACTAACACAGCATAAACCGAATGGGAGGGGCGATCTTTGCCCAGCGTCACCAGTGTATAACAGGGGAAAGGCGGGATCGAAAATATGGAAAATGTGTAGCGTATCTTTTGGACTACTTCTCGTAATCAAAGCCCACAAACGTGGAGAAATTGTAAGAAAACACGCTACTACCTTATACCTTTAAACGTTTGTTGTAACCTCCGACTCCTGCAGCCCAGACCCGCTTCGCCGCGGTTGTTGACTGGGGCAAGGACCGCTGCTGCCAAGACCGTAGTAGTTTGTAAGTAGTAGAACAAGTCATCGCGCACTGCTCCCCAGCGTCATGTTCGGCGCAGCTGCGTCACGGGAATGCACAAACAATATAAAAGAAGGATAATTATATTTTATTGAAGTACTATGTACCAGGGATGTTTCATAGTGCTTGAAAAATACAGTTGCTATTAGAATGCATAACCCAGTGTTTCGCATCTTTTGGAACAAAAACTGCACATTCCAGCTTCAAGAACCAGAAACATGAAATCCATCACTAAGAAGGAGGTCAATGCAGCGCAGCTCTGACAAAAAAGGCCGCCGTCGCTTGGCCCGAGGCTATGACTGGTGAGCCTCGGGCGGGCCGTAACGGTTTTGCACATTTTTGTAGGCAGGCAGGCTTTGAAGTGATGATATATGCGCTGTGGGAAATGTGACATGTGTTGAGTGCTTCATTTCAATGCGTAGAGAGTGCTGGGCTTCTGCTTTGATGCTTCCCAGTTTTGGGCAGGTCCAGTCCTTTTCCAAATGGCACAGCCAACTCCTCTGTTTTGGGGCAGGGGCTGGTGGTAATTGACCAAGAGGTGGGGTGTCTCCAGTACCATCCTGACAATCTTATTTGCCTCTACTGACTGCTTATTACCCCCACTGCTATGCTCAATATGAATTGATCAATTAATTTGCACACTGAGCTAGTTATTTAGCATTTTGCACACTACATTAACAAATCTAAAATATTAAAAAAATGTATCAAACATCTCACAATACAAACAAGAAAATCTTATTGTCAGAGCAGCAACACTAAAACTGGCTTTTCTGGAGTGGCATCGGTTTGTGGCATGTTCTCTTGATCAGCACAAGCAGCGCAAACTGGTGCAAACTGTTTTGCTTTTGTGCAATGATTTTTGTGTGAGAGCTTCAACATAATGATGGCTTTCTGGCTGCATGGCTGCTGCAGGCAGCCACATCTAAGACTGAAAAGAGTAATATTGCTCACTTGGACATTTGAATGAATATCTGTTGCTGAAAAATGAAAGATTAACCATTTATGGTGTGCATTTTGTGTATGTGTCAATGTATACATCTCATGAATCTAACACAAAAATGTCCTGGGGTGAGACATTGAAATTGTATTTTGTATAAGTTAGGTCTTAGCTTGATTGTATAATTGTAATGTAAGGTTAAGTATGCAAAGTAAGTTCATTATGCTTTTATTGCATCTAATGTAAAGTTATGTTATTGCTAATTATTCTAATGCTTATTGCTTTTTACTTTCAGGAAGATACATATATACCTGAAGAACTGCAAGCCATGGCTGAGCAGGGTGATACCGTAGCAGGCAGCTCACCTGTTGTAAAGGTGAGCACTTCCCTTCAAGGAACATACCTTTTCATTCACAGCACTGGTGAGCACTTCCCTTCACATTCAGGTGAGCACTTCCCTTCAAGGAACATACCTTTTCATTCATCTTTAACAGAACTGTTAAGAGTTTTCAGTATCAGGCTTAGGGAATATGCTTTTTATGAATACAATGTTGTTGATTAATTCATTACTATTCTTATATGTGGGCAAGCTTTGTGAAGCAAGTGGTTGTAATTATATCATAATCAATCATTTTGTGTTTTTCCAACATTTCATGTAGTTCATGAGGATGGCTTTCCAAATAAAGCTAGTATTTGCTTTTGATATCTATAAGCAGTGTTTATCTTCATCTCCTTCAAAGATGATCATTACCATAGGACTTCGTGATGGTGGCAGCTGCCCTGCCTCTTCCCCCCTCTTTTAATCACCCAAGGGGTCTGGATCTGGAGTCAATGTGAAAGGCCCTGCACATCAATCATCTACCCTTTAAATCCATGCACATGTCTATATGCATGTTACTTAGTGCTATCCCAGCTGCCAGTAAGCTTGTGAAGACCCATGCTGGCTCATGCCCTCCTGAGTCCTAATGCTTGAAGCATTCATGTTGCTGCAGCACAGACATCCAGCTTGTGTCACATTGCCAGGGGGTGGCTCCTTTTTCCAAGGGAGCTGAGATTGGGTGCCTGCTGATCAGCTCTGGGGATACCCCATCTGAGCTCTATGCATCAGATTTCATCCACTTTGAAAAGGACCTCTTGAAGATATAAACTTAATTGAATAATACCTCTTAGCATGGTGGACCTCTGGTTCTTCTTATTGTGGCCTCTTGGCTGGCTGACATTACTTCATTGTTTTCAATCAGATGCCCTATGCATCTGATTGGGGCCCCTTGGAATCATCTAGACCTCCTGTCAACTATGAGAGCATAATGCTGGCCATCAAAGGCCATCTTAAGGGCAGATATTAGGTCTTGTGTGCCTTAAGGGGCTGCTTTTTTATTTGAAGGAATACCTTCTAGGTTATATGGCGCCTTGTCTCAACGTGACAGGCTCCTGATATTTCGAGCTTGGGGGAGGGGGGACAGGGGCGACAAAGATGTGGTTGTTTCCTTTGCCAAATTAATAGGGGCATCTGTCTTTGGCCGCTGGCAGCACCACCCCAGCACGTTGTCAATTTAGAACCGTGCCCTTGGGCACAACCATATGCACCAGCAGCACCTGACTGTCGTGCCACTGCCAGGCCGACAAATCCAACGAGCCCCATGAGGAACAACAGTACCTGGACCTGATCCGTCGCATCATCGAAACCGGCGTTCAGCGCGATGACCGCACGGGAACCGGCACTCTCTCTGTGTTTGGCACCCAGATGAGATTCTCCCTTAGAGATGGTATGTGGAAATGCATGGCACATGTTCAGGGTGGTTGGTGGTGCCCTTAACTTCATTAATCATTAAGAGGAAAGTGGAAGCTTGCTCGTCACCTTACGTGCTAACCAGCTCGTGTGTGTGTGTGTGCCATGTACAGAGCCACAAAGATGTTGATGACGCCGACAGACACCCTGTGCGTGCAGGCCGTCTCTAGTGCGTGCAGGCCGTCTCCAGTGCATGCAGGCCGTCTAGTGCGTGCAGACCGTCTCTCGTGCGTGCAGACGGTCTCCCGTGCGTGCAGGCCGTCTCCCTTACGTGCAGGCCGTTTGCCATTCGGCCAGACCGTTTCCCTGTGATGCCGGTCGTTTCTCGTGCGTTCAGGCTGTTCCCCTGTGATGCCGGTTGTTTCTCGTGCGTTCAGGCCGTTCCCCTGTGATGCCGGTCGTTTCTCGTGCGTTCAGGCCGTTCCCCTGTGATGCCGGTCGTTTCTCGTGCGTTCAGGCCGTTCCCCTGTGATGCCGGTTGTTTCTCTTGCGTCCAGGCTGTTCCCTCCTGATGGCGGTCATTCCTCTTGCGTGCAGGTCGTTTCCCACTGCTGACCACGAAGCGCGTGTTCTGGCGCGGCGTGGCTGAGGAGCTGCTGTGGTTCATCCGCGGCAGCACGGACGCCGCCGAGCTGCAGCAGCGCGGCGTGCACATCTGGGACGGCAACGGCAGCAGAGAGTTCCTCGATCATCTGGGCTTCACCGACCGCCGGGAGGGTAAGGCCGCGCCGCCGCACCGCCCGGTGGCAGGGCCGGGGCAGAAAGAAAGCATGCGGGGGCACCCGGCCGGGCAGGGGATGCTGCATGTGGAGGTAGAGGTGATGGGTGCCCCGGGGAACGGTCTGCGTGAGCGGATGGCCGCTAGAATCAGTCCCATCTCTTGTCTCCTGGTTGAGGTGAGCAAACTGCCTCTGTTATTCCGACGCGAAAGCTCAGCGCACGGTACACCCTAAAACTCGCACAGTTTGTGTACGTCTTACCTGTCGCTGCATTTTTTGCGTCATTTTCCCAACAAGTAGGCACAGAGTGCGCTGGGGTGTGTGCCAGCCGGACTAAATGTTTTGCATTGTCCCCCTTCTGTTCGATTTTACCGCTAATCTGTTGCAATCTGGAAGGCGTTGGTCCCGGCGGAGAGCTACTCGAAACTCGCCCTTGCTCTTCCTGAGCGCCGTTTTCTGAATTCAGGCAGGCGCTGCCAGCTCACATAAGGACAGACTGGCGAAAGGCTCGGGATCGCACGAGCACCGATGGCCAGGGAAACGCGCGAAGCCAAACCTAGGTGAATCTCAGTCTCAGTTTTCATCGCGACAGTAGAGGGGAGGTTAGCCTCTGCCGCCTCGCATAGGTCACACGTCGAGACATGGTTTGCTCCTCTCGACGGGGCAAGTATCGTCATTCCCGCGCTGTGACCACGCGCTGCTCGTCGCTCATGTTCTCGTGCAGTGTCCACACTTGGCCAGCGAACGATATCGTCTCTTTGGTCGTGGCCTTGTGCGGCGTAGTTTCCGCGCTCACTCATAGGTGGGCGCGCCAGTGCTGACGCGGGAGCTGCTCTTACATGTCTTTACGATATTAACTTAGAGGTCATTTACTCACCGTCACAACATGTTTTGATGTCGCACGACCCTGGCTGAAAGTACCCCGTCGTACTAAGTTTACGTAAACCGCGCATGAACCGCTCGTTATGGTTTGCCGCCCCGCGCGAGATGCGCTGCAACCGGGCGTAGCACGCGCCTGTTGTATTCATTCCTTTGTTCCCACGCCTTCTTACCAATCAACTTGTCCTCTTGATACGCGATTCTCAAAACCGACAGCAGTGTTTTACAGCTGCATGCTTTACATGATGGGACATGGTTGCACAGATGCACATATAGCCGCAGTTGGGCGTAGAAGACCGTTGCCGTCGACTCACCCCCTAAGCCCAAATAGCCTGCCGTTCGCTCATATGACCACGCGTAGATGTGCTTGCCTTCGCCAGATGGCACGCTGTCAGATTCCTCGGAGATGCTTGGCTCCGAAATTGGCTTCGCCAGCCGATGGCTGCAGGATGATCTCTGCGGTGTCCGAGGGTCCTAGTTTCTTTCTCCTCTGTAGATTGGCCGTGCCTACATTTTTGTCTTAGATATATACAGGGGCATGCATGAAATCATGCAATGCCACAGTATCAGCTGCGTTTATTTCGGACAGGTCTAACTGGAACATAGCAGGTGAGGTTTTTTCCATGTCGCATGTTTTCGTACGATTTTACTAACATTCCCATCGGTTTTGCATACATTTACATCGTTTGAATGGACATGCAGGTTATGCTACGCGAGCTACGAGCTTTGAGACCAGATACAGCCATGTGTGTGCTGGCCCCCACGTGAGGCCTATAGGCGTGCGTCACAGGCCGAGGCGTTGTGGCATGCAGGCTGATGATCCGTCCCTGCTGTGGTCCGTTCCGACCTTGTGACTGGCCTGCACTGGAGGTGAAGCCCGCTTCTGTGACTGGAGGTGGTTGGTCCGGTCCGGTCGAGGCCTGGTCCGGTTTGTCCGGTCGGAGATCTGACGAGTGGCGGCGGTGGCCAGGGGACCTGGGGCCCGTGTACGGGTTCCAGTGGCGACACTTCGGCGCCAAGTACCGCGGCCCCGACGCCGACTACACCGGCCAGGGCGTCGACCAGCTGGCCAGCGTCATCCACGACATCAGGTGGACAGCCCCGGTCCGCCCCCTCCCCCTCCCGCTGTCGCCGGGGAGGGGACCGCGCAGGCGCTGGCGGCGTGGTTGTATAGCGCGCCACCGAACGGTATGCACTGCGTCGCCATGTTGCCTAGTCTCGCCCTGCATTTACCACTTCAGCAGTTTTCTTCAAAGCTTCCGTTGTTTGAACTTTTTTAACGTCTCATGTGTGCAAGTGTTGAAGGCATGCCGCGTTAAGAATTTCAGATAACCTCGACGTGATCAGAGCGTGGTCGATCTGCTACTCGGCACAACACCGTACGTGGTGTCTGCACCGCCTTCTCTGCGTCTCCTGCTCGTACTTTGGTTATCTCATCTTGTGCTCGCGGTCACGTTTCGTAACTGTTTGCCTTGCCCATATGTACCATTTTGACGCCTCGCGTGTCAGAGACCCCTGGCGTGCTGTCGTGACCCTTCACGTGCCGCCGTAACCGCTCGTATGCCGCCGTGACCCTCCACGTGCCGTCGCGACCCCTCACGCGCCACCGTGACCCCGCACGACCCCACCCTGACCCGCCCGGGCCGCCGATCCGCACAGGACGAACCCGAACAGCCGCCGCATAGTGATGAGCTCGTGGAACGCGGCTGACCTGCCGCTGATGGCGCTGCCGCCGTGCCATTGCCTGGCCCAGTTCTACGTGGCCAACGGCGAGCTCAGCTGCCTGCTGTACCAGCGCGCGGCCGACATGGGTCTCGGCGTGCCCTTCAACATCGCCAGCTACGCTCTGCTCACCTGCATGATCGCCCACGTGACCGGCTTGAAGGTGCGCACCGGGGGGTCACGTGACGCCCAGCTTGAGGCGGGTGCTGTATCATCTAACGTACCTGCATGGGTGGTGCCCACAGCTGGAGTGACTCGATCTGGACGCCCAGTAATACCCTGTTGCAGAACTACGCGGAGGTAGCTGCTAAATGGTCTGTCCCTACAGTTTTGTTGACTGGTACCTTCGCTACGTCGGCTAATCGTGGGTGAAAAGCACATGCCAGGGCGGTATCGGGTTTCCCTGGTTTCCGTTGCTTTTATACTTGGCAGTACTTATAGACGACAAGTATTCATCAAGCGTCGTTGTACTATGGTATTCATAATTTTTCGTCACCTTGACTGTTCCACGCCTCGCTCTGAAGCTGTCGCGAAACGTTGCGAGTGATGTGATCGGGCGGCACTGTCGGCAGCCGGGCGAGTTCGTGCACTCCATGGGTGACACGCACGTGTACCTGAACCACGTGGAGCCGCTGAAAGAGCAGCTGGCGCGCGAGCCTCGCCCCTTCCCGCGGCTGCGTTTCGCTCGCGCTGTCGACGACATCCAGCAGTTCACCATGGACGACCTTCAGCTGGAGGGGTATGATCCGCACAAGAAGCTCTACATGAAGATGGCCGTCTGAGTGCACAAAGCTACGCCGGTCTGTGCTTGGAGGTGATTGTCTGAAGGCCCTAAGATCGAAACGGAGGTGGCGGTCAGGTAGATTTAGGTCTGGTGGATGGCGGGAGTTCAGGTTAAAGGGTGGAAGTGGTGGATTACAGACACGCACCAGCTGCTGGAGATGGCGATGGGGTGATGGCGGGGTAGGTGACCGCGAGTTCTCAGCAGACACGCACCAGATGCTGCAGATCGCGGTGGGGTGATGGCGGGGTAGGTGACCGCGGGTTCTCAGCCTCATAGATGGCTGTGAACTGATATTGAGAGCTAGGGACGGTGCGTCGACGAACGCTTGTGCGTAGTTTCAATTATGCGCGAACTTTCAGCTCACGTGCCAAAATACGGGGCATGCGCCTCCTTTGTGTGCTCGGGCTCTGCTCTCAGGATTTTTAAGGTTAAGTTTTAGGCCTAGCCCAAGGTTGCGACAGGCTTCAAATTTTCGTTTTGAAGTACTTGAGCTGCCCTCCTGACCATTTTTTACGACCCGGAACCCGGTGGGAGAAGCTCCGAAGTATTCTCAACCTACACTACGTTGTGATATAAATAGGGGATGCTTTTTACCAGGCAACTTTTTGTACTTTTTATTCCTTTCTTCGAGGACACGTATCAGCCCCGCTGTACCTTATTGTCGAACAACATCTCTCCAAACCGCGAGCGTTTGCGCGGCCAGTCATCCCCAGTGTGCGTAACGTCTCGTGCCGGACCGGCGGCCGCATTGTTTTTGGTGTTGTTCGTGATGAATACATTTCCACGCTGCACAGTCTCTGTGAAGACTCGCTGGTCATTGACATGGCCGTGACCGACACTAAGGACTCGTGACACTATTTCTGCTGTATTGTCGGGTCCCCGTTTGGCCTTATCATCGTGGCTGCCGCGCGCCGCTAGCGCACATGGCGCGGGATGTCATCATCGGAGCCCATTGAACTGAATGGTAACCGCGGAACACGGACTGCACTTTGAACAACAGTGAACAGAAATCGCGAGCAACATAGATGGTGCGCATGCCGGCCGGGAGCCGCTGCGGTCCGGACCTCTGAGACGTAACCGATCCTCGCGGTCCGGTCCGGTTGGGGTCCGTCGCCAGTCTCCCCATCTGGCTGAGCCGCAGCACCAGTCCTAGGTGGCAGCGCTGTCGACGGCGGCGACTCTGTGCCCTGCGGCGCCGCGGGGGCCGGGCTGGGCGGCGGCCGACGGCAGCAGCTGCATGTGCCGGCGGTACCACTCGGTCTGGGTGGCCAGCAGTGAGGTCATGCTGCGCGCGGCCGCCGCCCACCTGCCGTCCGCACGGGGTCAGGTCACCCTGACTGGTACGGCGCAGCTGCCCGCATAGACACATGGCCCAGCGTGTGCTTACCGACGCTACCCAATATTTCACCCCGATAGGACTGCGCGTCATAATGCATGTCGTGCACTTAAAAACATCGGCAAAAAAAAAAACGCGTCGGGCACGAGAACTGCTGGACCCCAGCCGCTTTGACAAAAAGGTTTCCGAAGCACTTTCAGGAGCAGTTTTAATCAGTCCGTTTGAAATGACATGACGTTAAAGCTGTTGCACAAGCCGCGGCGCATCTCCGTGTGCAAAGATGCCGGAGTGGGGAAGTCGCGCCTGCGCCCCACCTGTTGGCCTGCTGGGGCTCGCCCTGCACGTGCAGCTGGACCGCCTGGTTCCAGGTGCGCGTCATCACCAGCAGAGTCTGGCGGGCGGCGCGGAGGAGGACGGCGTCACGTTACTGCCGATGCAGCGCGACTCTCCGCTGGCTACACTCCAACACGGCTGTCGAGAAACGGCCCAGGCCGAACGACAGCTGGCGCCACCGAAACGCGTATCCGGTTCATTGACGTGTCGTGGAGACTACCACCAGCGAACCATCACAAACTGTACGGACATCCATTGAACACATCACTGCCCGCCATGTCGAACCAGCACCAGCAGCTGACCGTCAGATCGGCGTAACATAAGCGACTGGCCGCCATGTTGGGGTAGCGTCCCTCACTGAACGTCATGTTGGGGTAGTGTCCCTTACTGACCGCCATTTTGGGAAAGCGTCCCTTACTGACCGCCATGTTGGGAAAGCGTCCCATGCTGACCGCCATGTTGGGGCAGCGTCCTTCACTGACCGCCATGTTGGGGCAGTGTCCCACACTGACCATGTAGGAGCGGCGTCCCTCACTGACCGCCATGTTGGGGCAGCGTCCCTCACTGACCGCCATGTTGGGACAGCATCCCTCACTGACCGCCATATTGGGGCAGCGTCCTTCACTGACCGCCATGTTGGGGTAGCGTCCCACACTGACCATGTTGGGGCGGCGTCCCTCACTGACCGCCATGTTGGGGCAGCATCCCTCACTGACCGCCATGTTGGGGCAGCATCCCTCACTGACCGCCATGTTGGGGCAGCGTCCCTCACTGACCGCCATGTTGGGGCAGCGTCCCACACTGACCATGCTGGGGCGGCGTCCCCCACTGACCGCCATGTTGGGGCAGCGTCCCTCACTGACCGCCATGTTGGGGCAGCGTCCCTCACTGACCGCCATGTTGGGGTAGCGTCCCTCACTGACCGCCATGTTGGGGTAGCGTCCGTCGGCCGCCCGGATGACGTCTCGCACCTCCAGCACAGCCCTCAGCGCCTCGTCAGCAGTCAGTCCCGGCGCGCCCAGCTGGTCCAGTGTCAAGCTGATGTACCTACCGGTTCAAATCCCCTCTCAGGCTCAGTACAGACACGATCGGCGCAGGCGGTGTCAACGTGGGCCGGTGCGTGGAAGTAATCTGTGCCGGTAAATGCCCCATGTGCGGCCGATACAGGTGCACTTTCTGAAGACATTGAAACTAAAACAATCCAATCTGGAGCTAGCGTAGGACGAATCACCGCTGAGGACCGCTAAGATCCGCCATGGTGAGAAAGAGGAACTGGTGGTGAGGAGGGATGCCGTGGTGTGAGTGCACTCGCCTGATCTGCAGCGCCGCCAGCCTGTCATAGTCGGCCGTCGGGGCGCGCCGCAGCCGGTCAGCGGCGGCCCGCAGCGCCCTCACGGCCAGTGCCGGCCGACGCGGCACCAGGCTGGCCATCGCCTCCAGCGCGCCGGCGTCCACGTCCGGTCGGGCCGCTGCCGAGGTCAGCAGCTCGGCCAGCCCGGCGCCGTCCAGGCCCGCCTGACGCGTGTGTCAGGACGTCAGCGGCTGCACGGCGGGGCCGCTGACGTCGGCACGGCTACAGGGTGCACTCGCTCCGGTTGGGAATAGCCACAGCACGGCCGCGCGCGGTGAGGACGGCGGGGCGGACTCGCACAGGGCGGAGACAGCCTCAACACGGCCCCGCGCGGTGAGGACGGCGGGGCGGACTCGCACAGGGCGGAGACAGCCTCAACACGACCCCGCGCGGTGAGGACGGCGGGGCGGACTCGCACAGGGCGGAGACAGTCTCAGCACGACCCCGCGCCGTGAGGACGGCGGGGCGGACTCGCACAGGGCGGAGACAGCCTCAGCACGGCCCCGCGCGGTGAGGACGGCGGGGCGGACTCGCACAGGGCGGAGACAGCCTCAACACAGCCCCGCGCGGTGAGGACGGCGGGGCGTGACTAGCCGCGGTTAGTGCAGGCTCCCGTATAGTCAGCACAGCAGCAGTACTAGGCTTTACAGGTGAAGCAAGCGGTTAACGCATTATGATGTTAGAGCATCAAATGCGTACAAATCAAATCATACAAAGTCAACCGCACGACAGCCCTTTACGAAGCGTGCTGGGAACAGCAGAAGTGCAGCACACATTGCTGCAGGGGAAGTAGCCTGAGCCAGAGCTGAGCGGCGCCGCGGCTGGTACCCAGCATCTCCAGCTGTGGGCAGCTGCTCTTGCGTCGGCGGCGACGGCGAGCCTGCCCAACATCACGCCACACGCGCCCGGCCTCGTTACCTTGGCCTCGACCTGGTACAGGAGCAGGGCGGTGCCGTGCGGCCAGCCGGCGCCGCCGCCGCCCAGTCGGGCAGTCAGACGCTCACACGCGGCCACGCAGTCGAGCGCCTCCCTGCGGCGGTGACGGTCACCAACGGTCAGCCTCAGCTGGGCGACCACTGGGCTGTAAACGGGGCATGTGGCCCACCTGGGTGCAGACCTACAAAGTTAGCCACCGGGCCCTGTGCTTGGCCCCCTCGGCGTGCTTCCGTGGGACAGATAAGTTTCACCGCAGGCGCCTGGAATGCGGTTTAGCCGACCTTGGCTGCATCATTCCGTAAATTAATGCACTGTTTTACGGTTCGATGCGATCTTTCATCAGGCGACACAACGACGCCGTTAGCACGAGCTCGTCAGCTGAGTAACGAGGAGAGCGGAGCTGTCGGAGCTGAGTTGTAGCTGAGCTGGGCTGAGCTGAGCTGTCGGTGCGGCCGGTACCGTAGGTGCGCGTGTTTCTCGCGCTGCAGCAGGCCGGGCTGTCGAGCCGCCTCCAGGGCAGCGGCGGCAGCCATTACGGACGCCGTGCGGCACAGGGAGAGGTCGGACGGGTCCTGCGGAATACAGGCAGGCTCGAGGTACAGTCATCTCACAGAGCAAAGGAGAAGATCGGGCAGCCGGCAAGGCACAGCTTGGCAGAGAGTCGAAGGATCGTATAGGGTGTGGGCTCAGAGGATCAGGGGATTCTGCGGAGCAGGCAGCCAGGGCGTGGTGGTCCTGTCGGTCCCGAGAACAGGGTTACATGCTGGTCCTGCAAGGCCGAAAGTTACGGCCCGGGCGTCCTTCAGTGTAGAAAGCGAAATGAAATGTCCGAGGCACCATACGGCACGGCGAGACCGCAAACAAGGAGATGTAGCATGCTGACGATGGCGCTCGGCAGCTTCGGCGGCAACTTCTGCGCTATGATCTCTCGCACACGTGACGCCAGACATGACTAGCATCGTTTGACGGGTGTTACCTGGGCAGTGTCCGTCAGAAACAGGCGGCTGAGGGTGAAGAGGCGGCCGCGCTCGGCCGGCTCCAGCTCGCTGTGCACGGCCACGTTCCAGGCCACGTCCGAGAACCAGCCAGCCGCGCCGCCATCGGCGCCCGACTCGGCCGCCTGCCGCACCGGACAGCCGGGTGAACACTGGCGCCGGGCTCATGCGGCAGCGTATGACCGGACTGCCTCACACACGGACGGACGGCTCACGGGGTCGCGTTCGCCACTCACCGCGGAAAACCAAACATACGTGACGTGCCACAGCGGCCCGACTTCCACCCGCCGCCAGCGCACGCCGGGGGTGACGACGAGCCAGCACGTGGCCGAACCTTGTGCATGTGGCCGACCCCACAGACCTGGCGGCGCTGCACGAAGACGAGGGCCGTCTCTAGAGCAGCGATCAGCGGTCCGACCGGCGGCACGTCCCCCTGCTGCTCGCCCTCCAGCGACTCGATCCGTGACCTGGCCGGAGCGAGGGGGGCAAGGTCAAGCGCTGGCACGTCCCCCTGCCGCTCGCCCTCCAGCGGCTCGATCCGTGACCTGGCCGGAGCGAGGGGGGCAAGGTCAAGCGCTGGCACGTCCCCCTGCTGCTCGCCCTCCAGCGGCTCGATCCGCGACCTGGCCGGAGCGAGGACGCAAGGTCAAGCGCTGGCACGTCCCCCTGCTGCTCGCTCTGCAGCGACTCGAACCGTGACCTGCCCGAAGCGAGGGGGGCAAGGTCAACCGCTGGCACGTCTTCCCGCTGCTCGCTCTCCAGCGACTCGATCCGTGACCTGGCCGGAGCGAGGGGGCAAGGTCAAGCGCTGGCACGTCTTCCCGCTGCTCGCTCTCCAGCGACTCGATCCGTGACCTGGCCGGAGCGAGGGGGCAAGGTCAAGCGCCTGCACGGTCGTGTCCGGTGGTGATGGCGAGGAGGAGTGGGTCCCAGACAGTTGACTCATGCTGGCACTGATGTTTCGGCTAATGTGTTGATATCATTATCAGCCTACGTTCTTGTCAAGCTCTCAGCAATCATGAATGCATTTTTTAAGCGTCACTGCAAATTGTACGGTGACGCTTGGTTTCCAACGTTTGTCTCTGCTAGAAGAAGCTGGTGGCACCGTATAAAGGCAGCTAACATGACCTAAGTATTGGTATCGGGGACTTTCCACGTAGGCCGACTCTTGCAGGATGCAGCATCTTGAAACGCTAGCCCCAAGACAACCCCTTATGGTACTAGCCATGTCAAGCTTGGTCCCAAAAGCAGAATGCGACCGCAGTGCTACACACCACGGAACTCAAGCTCAAATGCCGCGTCCTGCCGAGACACGTATAGACCCGACACTGCTCTCGGTGGGTGGGGCGGGGCGGCGCGTCCCACCTGACCAGACACTGGGCCAGCTGGACGCCATCGGCCGGCTGGTCCAGGTGACGCAGCACGGTCTCCAGCAGGCGCTCGTACAGTGCTGCCGCCTGGCGGCTGAGCGCGAATCCACACAGGCTGCGCCAGAGCCGCGCCACGGCCGCCCGGTCCGGCGCCGCGTCTGCCGGGGCGGGGGCGGGCACGGGTCAGTCTGACTCCACTGCCGTGCCAGGCGCGGTCGGGACACCGTCGGGACAGGGGCTGGGCGTTATTGGCCCAGTGCTATCCACGCTGCCCCGGCGGATAGTGCTGGACCAACGCACGCTACGGAAGAGGCGGGCAGACCTGTGGCGACCACTCCCATGACAATGTCAGCACTGACAGCGTGACAGTTACGAAACGGTCAGCTTTCGTAACTGTCACATCAGCTGACCGTTTCGTAACTTGACAGTTACGAAACGGTCAGCAGCATCCTCACAGCACTGATCTGTGCTGACAGTGTCAGCCACAGGTCAGTCTGGACTTCGGTGCGAGAGACACTATCCAACAACGTCAGCCAGGGGAGTGGTCGACACATGTCTGTCCGCCTCTCCCGTATCATGAGCTGGTCTAGCACTTTCCACCGGGTGGGACAAGGGGCGCGACCTTGCACCGCTGGGATGCAAGGTCGTGCGATGGACCGATGCCCGCGGTAGCACTGCGAGGGAATCGAGGGCGCAGACAACAATAACGGAGCGGTGCAAAGCCACGGGTGGCTCAGCCGGCTTGCACGACCCACCGATGAGCGGCAGCAGCTGGAGCGCGCTCTCGGCGGCACCGGTGGCGATCAGCAGCTGCAGCAGCATGTAGAGCGCGGCCGGATGGCCGGGCTGCAGCAGCAGCGCCCGCCGCAGCGCCGCCTCGGCCGCCGCCAGCTCGCCGCGGTCGCGCAGGCAGCGCGACACGTTGCGCAGCAGGCGGCCGGCCGTGTCAGGCTCTGAGGACGGCCGCCGGTGGTGAGCAGCGGTGAGGGGCTCCCGGGACGACAGCCGTAACGGGCTGGAGTTGAACGGCGTCGCGGTTCACGTCAGTCACCCTCCACACGACGTTACGGGACACACCGCTTAAGAGTTGACTTAAGGTCTCATGGTACACGAGGATCACGAGCTGCCTAGTGCCAGAAGTCACGTGGGGTCAGAATAGAATGCTACACGTGTCCACTCCGGCAGGAAGACAGGCCTGATAAAACATGAGCAGCGCTGGCTTGACAAGTACGGGCCGCCTGACTGACGGGGAGGCTGAACGGTGTCGCCCCGCGGTCGTGCTGTTACCGAGTCCGTGCAGGTCGGCGATCCGCAGCAGCAGCTGCTCGGCTGGCTCCGACTGGCCGGCCTGCAACAGTGACGCGACGCGGCCCTCCAGCGCCGCC